AAGAATCATAAGAGACAATTACCTGCTCAGTTTGTAATATACGCTGACTTTGAATCGTTGCAGATCCCTGTTGATGGGGAGGGCAAATGCCTGCGTAAGACACATGACCATGAGATGTGTAGCTACGGTTTCAAGAGAGTGTGTTACTTTGATGGTAAGTATGATGGTGAATATAAAAGCTATAGGGGAGTTGGCGCGGTCGGGAGATTCTTGAGTGACCTGCTGGGTGAAGTTGAGGAGTGTAATAAGATTATCCAAAGTGAGTTCAACAAGGTCGCAATTATGAGTGTCAAGGACTATGATAAACTTGAGAAGGCAGTTGAGTGTCACATCTGTGGTGGTAAGTTTAGTGAGGGTGATAAGAAGGTGCTTGATCATTGTCATGTTACTGGTAAGTTTAGAGGTGCGGCCCATAACTCGTGTAACTTGAATTTTAAGTTAACTGGAAAGATCCCTGTTGTATTTCACAATCTACGCGGTTATGATGGTAACTTTATTATGCAGGGTGTTGCTGAACTCGGTGAGAAGATTGAAGTGATTGCAAATAATATGCAAAAGTATATGTCCTTCAGAGTGGGTAAACAGTTGGTCTTCATTGACTCTATGCAGTTCATGAGCAGTAGTCTTGAGGCTCTTGTTGGGAATCTTGATAAGAGTCGTTTCAAGAGAATGCAAAGTGAATGGCAAGGAGAGGAGCTTGAGATGTTACTTAAGAAGGGAGTTTACCCTTACGAGTATATGAGTTGTTGGGAGAAATTTGATGATAAAAGCTTACCTGAGAAATCTGCCTTCTATAGTTCACTGTATGAGGAAGAGGTTAACGATAATGACTATTCGAGAGCGTGCAAAGTATATAAAAAGTTTGACTGTAAGAGTTTAGGTGATTATCATGACTTGTATCTGAAGACTGACGTGTTGTTGTTAGCAGATGTATTCGAAGACTTTAGAAGAGTTTGTCTGGATGCTTATAAGTTGGACCCTGCACATTACATTTCTGCTCCTGGACTTAGTTGGGACGCTATGTTGAAAAGAACAGGTGTAAAATTGGATTTGCTTTCTAATGTTGACATGTATCAGTTCATTGAGAAGGGAATGCGTGGTGGGGTAAGCTATATTGGTCATAGATACGCGAAGGCAAATAATAAATATATGAGTGACTATGATCCTGAAAAACCAAGTAGCTACATAATGTATCTCGATGCAAATAACCTCTATGGACATGCGATGAGTGAGGAGCTACCATATGGAAAATTTAGGTGGATTGATGTTGACAAGGTTAAGCTTGAAGATTATGGTAAAGGTAAAGAGAAAGGTTTGATACTGGAGGTTGATCTTGAATATCCAAGTGAACTTCATAAGTTACATAGTGACTATCCTCTAGCTCCAGAGAAAATGGAAATCAGTGATGACATGTTGAGTGAATATGCAATGTATATAAAAGAGGCTCACAATGGTAGGTCAACTGGTGTGAAAAAGTTGGTAACCACACTGACTGGGAAAACCTCCTATGTATGTCATGTTAATAATCTCAAGCTGTACATAGGGTTGGGAATGAAGCTGGTGAAAATAAGAAGAGCACTCGAGTTTGCTCATTCAAAGTGGCTCAAGGGTTACATTCAGTTTAACACCGATATGAGAACAGTTGCTAAAAATGACTTTGAGAAGAACTTCTTCAAGTTGATGAATAACTCTGTGTTTGGAAAGACAATGGAGAACCTTAGAAAAAGGGTTGACGTGAAACTAATGGTCGACGGTAACAAGCTGAAGAAGGCGGTTGCATCACCATGTTTCGTAAGGGCTAAAGTACTGAGTGGCGGTCTAGTTGCGGTTAAGAAGGTAAAGGAAGTGTTACTCCTGAACAAGCCTGTGTATATTGGAATGAGTATTCTTGATCTGTCGAAAACGGTAATGTATGACTTTCACTATAATCATATAAGAAAGATTTATGGTAGCCGAGCAAAGTTACTTTTCACGGATACAGATAGTTTAATGTACAGGTTGCACACTGATGATGCGTATAAAGATGCGGCGAACTTTTCTGATAAGTATGATACCAGCGGTTACAATAAGAACTCGCCCTTCTATGATGAGACTAATAAGAAAGTCATCGGTAAATTTAAGGATGAAGCTGGCGGTATACCTATAAGAGAATTCATTGGGTTGCGGTCAAAGATGTACAGTTATGAGAAAGATGATGGGGGAGGTGGTAAGACAGCTAAAGGTGTAAAAAAGTATGTAATCAAAAAGTTCATCACTCACGAAGACTATAAGAGGACGCTGGTGGAGGGTCTTCAGATGAAACATAGTATGAACGTTATAAGAAGCAACTGTCATGATGTTGGAACGTACAATTTAAGAAAGGTCTCACTGAGCGCCTTTGATGATAAAAGGTTTCTGCTCACTAACGGAATATCAAGCCTGGCATATGGACATGTAAAACTAAGTTCAGGCAAGGATAATCACCGTTTAGGTTGCCAAAACAGACTTAAGAGTTAATTTCCATATCAAATAGGGAAGGTAAACGGAGAGGCTGTTGGAGCAGTAAAAAGTGACTTCAATTTGTCATTCAGAGAAGAAAATGAAAATAAAAGTGGTGTTTTTTACAAAAAATGTATGTTAAAAGGATTCCAGAAGAGGTAAATCGGTGAAATCTTGGGAGTCGGGCGAGGTACAAAAAATTTTGAGAAATGAGCAAAAGTGCCTTCGAAATGGCTCTAGAACGTGTAAAATCACTGTTTTCAGAGAATCATAAAAAATTGATGAACCGATATCCTACCACCTCGAAAATTTAGAATTGCATTCTGAGCACTATTTTAGTGGTTGTAGAGGGTCTAGAACGCTAAAATTGATAAAGTAAAAAAAGCGGTTGTAGAGGGTCTGTGAGCATCAATGTGTGTGTTGCCGATGGTAAATACAGCATAAAAATGGTGTTGAAACGGTCGTCTGAGACCCAAAATTAGTACATCAAATTTAGTGTTGTAGAGCGTCTAGAATTACAAAAATGGTCAATATTGACGAAAAAAAGTGGTAAGATATCGGCATTTTCCATACTACTTACATAGAGCAGTTTCTACAAATATTTTAATATCTGCTGCTTTTACATTATAATCACTCGCAACGTCAGCAACGTGAAGATGTAATGATCTCACATTTTGAAATAATATTTTAAATGTCTAACTAGTAACTTTATAGAGAAATGGAAGATGGCTTTTAAGTACAGAATTTTGTCTTTGTCTTGTAATTTCTTCTTGTACCTTCTTTCTCTCAGCTATTTTCTTTTCGTTCAGATTAAGAAGAATAATAATCTTATTTTTAATGAATCTAAAACCAAAATGATGATGTTTGCCACACAACAAATGGCCAGATACCAGAATCTAGATAGAGAAAATGAGGTTGAAATAACGGTAAATAGCAAACCCATTGAAAGAGTTTCATCTTGGAAAGTACTTGGAATGCTTTTCCAGCAGAATCTGCTGTGGAACAATCACATCACAGAGCTAACTTCGTCCTGCTATGGTGTCTTGGCTGTTTTGAAGAAATTAAAGCGCTTTACGCTATTTCATATCAGGAAACAACTCGCGGAGGCTTTGGTACTTTCCAAATTGGATTATTGTAATGTTTTATACAATGCTTTGCCAACCTATCTTATAAAAAGGTTACAGAGAGTACAAAATGCGGCGGCAGGCTTTGTGCAAGGTCGATATGCAAATACGGAAAATGTATTGGATATAAAATGGTTGCCGGTAAAGGAAAGAATTAAACTTAGTATAGCAAAATTTACTTTTAAATCTCTACATTTCCACAATTGGCCATCGTATTTATCAGTCCATGTGAAGCATCACGGAAGGGTATTACGTGGTAGTAATAATGGCAGAATGTTAGAAATTCCTAGAACAAATAATACATTTGAACATTCTGAAGCTACCATATTTAACAGTCTACCACAAGAAGTTAGGGACAACTCATTTTTTCGTAGTTACCTTAAGGAAGTAAAAACTGTGCTCATGGAAAGGGTGCGTACTCGTATTTTAAATTAAATTTTTCAACAGTTAGGATAACCGCAACCGCCGACATTTATTGTATAGAAATATATTATAGAGTCTTAATAGTTGGATGAATAGCCATGTGGTGTGGGAATGCCTTATTAATAAACCATTATTATTATTATTATTATTATTATTATTATTATTATTATTATTATTATTATTATTATTATTATTATTATTATTATTATTATTATTATTATTATTATTATTATTATTACATGTTTTTCACAGCTTTGTTCTTATGCTGGCTATGTTCTTTCCTTGGAAGCTGGCTACAACCAGTAGCCTCAGGTCCCTAAGATTTTAGCTTTCCAAGCTTCTTCTCAGTATTCTTGCCGTCCCTAACAATGCTGTTTTTCGTAGAAATTCTATTCTTATATGTTTTCCCAATTTCTCAATCCACTTATCCAGTTTATTACTAACTGCTCCTAAGGCACCCACTACTATTGGAATGACTTCAACTTTTTTCATTGCCCATATTTTCCGAATTTCCCTTTTCAACTCCTCATACTTTTCTACCTTCTCTGTTTCTTTTATACCAATTCTACAGTCCCCTGGAACTGCGATGTCTATGATCTTGCATTCCTTTTCCTTCTTTAAAACCACTACAATATCAGGTCTTCGACATTCAATCGCATGATCGCACTGTATGTTAAAATCCCAGAGAATCTTTACATTATCTGATTCAATTACTCCGTTTGGTTGGTGTTCATACCATTTTTCAGCTTTCTCTAGTTGGTACAAACCACATAGCTTCCAGTGTACAATGCGAGCCACATTGTCATGTCTTCGTTTGTATTCTTTTTGTGCTAGCTTCTTGCATTCACTTATCAAGTGTGTTATATGCTCTCCAATTTCCCCACAAAGTCTACAGAGTGGAGACTCAACAGTCCTATCTATGTGAAACTTTACATAATTTGTCCTTAGAGCTTGTTCTTGTGCAGCACACAGAAGTGCTTCAGTCTCAGCTTTCAAGTTTTTTTGTTTCAAGTTTCAGGTTCTTTTGTTGTTGTTTTTATTATTATTATTATTATTATTATTATTATTATTATTATTATTATTATTATTATTATTATTATTATTATTATTATTATTATTATTATTATTATCGAGCAGAGCCGTGTTCAGACGTGCTCTGTACATGTCATAGTTTTATCGCTAGTTTTGTGTTTGAATCACAGTATTTCTTACTAATTGTTAAAATTTATAATCATAAAAAGATCATCATCATGATTCGTTCAAGTTTTATTGCCATGCTATTGACTTGCGTCGTCTGTTCGTTTTGTGATAAAGACTTGGTCTCGCTCGGTCGCCATTCATGGCGTTGTAAACAACGGATTAACCAAGCAGAACAAGATCCCCATGACGCTACTACAAGACAAGTGCCTGTAATGCAGTCCCCTAATGTTCCTGTGTCAAGTCGCACGGTTGTTAAATGTTGTTGTGGCTAGATATGCAAAGAGGCGCGCGGCCTTAAAATGCATCAGCGCAGTTGTCAAGTGATACATGGCCTTAACGACGATCTTTGTGCAGATCTTGAGGAGCAAATAACTACGGATAACAGCGAAAATATTTCAGAAAATGAACACAATGACAATGATATTAATGCAGTTAATTGCGAAAGTTTTCCTGAACTGAAGAAAGGCATAAATCTCCAGAAAAATGATTCTGAATGGTCAACGGCTAATGATTATTATAAATATGCACTCCAGCCAAATGATCCAGTCACATTTCAAGATCTAAATTCAAAAATCAAGCTTTTAAATGACGCGATATACAATTACTTTGCAAATAATTATGGACATACTGAAACTGTACCCGACAAAAATATGGTAGCTAAATATAAAGAGTATACGGTTAAAGAGTTAATGAAAGGTTTACAAAATTTAAAATCCAAAAAGGGTGAACTCAGTGAAAATAAATACGTATCGCGTACATTGCGTGACAGGCTCCGTAACAATAGCACGACGCCGATGACTTAAATGATAGTGAGTCTTTTAATCACAACAAATATCTGGAACGAAGCTTTTGGGGCTATGTTAAAAATATAATCAATAGAAAAGACGCAGTATTACCATCATTTAACACAAGTGATTGCCTTTCTTATTTCTCTAAATCTCTGGCTAAAAGTAATCCTAACAAGCTATTTGTAATTCCCAGCTGGATCCCAAAGTTATCTGATCCTGAAGTTCAATTTAACTTTGACCCCCCGACCTATCAACAAATTACGAATGTTATACGCAAAATGAAATCGTCTGGTTCTCCTTGCCCTCTTGGTCAACTTTCTATAATAAGTTTCAAGCATTGTCCTTATCTGAGAACTTACCTTACTGAGCTAATTCACGATATTTGGCTATCTGGAACTGTCCCAACTGAGTGGAAAAGAGCATGTACCATACTAATCCACAAGAAAGGCAACAATAATAACCCTTCAAATTTCCGCCCCATAACACTCGAATCCATACCTTTAAAAGTATTTACATCTTGTCTCCGAAACGCAGTATACTCCTTCCTCGCATCTAATAACTTCGTCGAACACAACATACAAAAAGGCTTCACCCCTAACCTATCTGGCACTCTAGAACATACTGCACAAATGGCTGACATTATTAATAAAGCTCGGATCAGACAACGCTCTGTTGTCATCACCCTACTTGATCTTAAGAATGCCTTCGGCGAAATCCATCACAACCTCATCCAATCCGTACTTGACTACCACCATATCCCTGATCATATAAAATTTGTTATAAAAAGTTTATAATTTTATACTGATTTCCAAACCTCGATAATTACCTCTGAATTTCGCACTCCTTTTATGACAGTTGACCGTGGCGTATTGCAAGGAGATTGCCTCAGTCTTCTTCTTTTTAACATGTGCTTCAATTCATTCATTCAGCATATCAAGGCTGAAAAGTACCGTCAATTTGAGCTTTCCTTCAAATTACTAAATTCCATCCACTGGTTCCAGTTTGCTGATGACGCGGCTGTAATTACTGGCCATGAATCCGAAAACCAACATCTATTAAATCGATTTTCTATCTGGTGCCAATGGTCCGATATGATTATCCGAGTAGACAAATGCAGTACCTTTGGCATTAAAAAAGCGATCACAAAATCAGTCCAGTACTTGCCAAAACTCCTCATCAGCAATCAAATAATACCAAAAATCACCATTGGAGAATCATTTCAATATTTAGGACGTTACTTTGATTTCCACATGTCGAATGATAATCATAAAACTGAACTAACAACCCTACTTAATGAACTAATGACTGATATTGACTCAAAGCCATTACACCCCAAAAATAAACTGCTCCTCTACAGTCGCTACGTCTTGTCCAACTTAGCCTGGCACTTTACCGTCGTAACACTCTCTAAAACATGGGTTACTGTAAATATCGATTCTATTGCCAACAAATATATCCGCAGATGGCTTGAAGTAACAATATCAGGAACACTAAGTACTGTCTTTCTAACAAATAACAAATTTGGCCTGAGTATTTATCCTCCATCTGTAAAATCTATCCAGTGTCAAACAGTCCTCCGAAAAGCTTTAAAATCTTCTCCTAATTAATCAACTAACGACCTGTGGAAAGCAACCAGTAACCATACTAATATCCAATATGACGCTTATAACTCTACTAAGGAAGTTCTCAAAGATTTCCGTTCTGGACACGAAAACAAACTCCTAAACCTATTAACCAGTCAAGGATCCTTTTTCTGCAGCGTCAAGAAGTTCGCTTTACCTCAGCTTAACAAGGTGTGGTTCATCGCCCAATCAAATTTCCCGAAAAACATTTACAACTTTACCATTCGTTACATTAACAACTCTCTTCCGACGCGCAAGAACCTAAACAGATGGGCAATATCTTCAAATTCAGACTGTTCTTTTTGTCTTAGCCCTGAAACATTACTACGCATAGTAGCTGGATGTCAGTTTTATCTCGACCGATTTACGTGGAGACACAATTCAGTCCTGAACTTTCTTGCTCATACTTTACAAACTGTTGACGGTTCTATTCTCTACGCTGATCTAAATGGATTCAAAAGCCCTTCAATACTTACTGGTGATACGTATCGCCCAGATTTGTTATTATCGTGCTCAAATGGTTCCTTATATGTGGTTGAACTCACCACTGGTTATGACACAAACCTCAAAAACAACGTAAAACGGAAGAAGTGTTAATATAGAGAATTATTGAGACAGGCACAATCAGTTTCAAAAGTCTTGGGACAGATGCCACAAAACCTTTGAATTTCAACAAACGACAATCCCCCCGCCCCCTGTTCAATGTTGTGTCCCATTTCTCGTCGGGTTTGATGTGTTTTGGTTTAAACAACATTGATTGGGGTGGGGGAGGGGAGGGGAGCGGTATTGTGTGTAAAAAACTATAATGATCCACTTACGAGCTAAAACTACATGTGTCCCAACAACTTCTGAAAGTGATTGTCTGGGCCCCATATGCCATAACATCATTGTACATCTCAAAAGTACAGGGAATAGAATGCTCTGCGAACGAAGTATTTCAGCTCCATTTCGTTCACAGAACATCTAATGACATTATAGAACAATTAAGTTTCATTCAAATTCTCAAAGTTAATAATTAACAGAATATGAATATAACTTGTTATCTCATATTGCAAGGTTTTATAGGTTGTTTGTTTCTACAAATTATGGCAGAGCACTAGTAGGTTATTTGAGAGGTTATATTCCGTCGATAAAGAAAGGTATCGCAAATGTTTTACGCTAGATATGTCACACATGCTGTTAATTTATAGCATATATATAGTAATATAACATCCGGTTACTTTGGCATGCGGGTAAGGGCCGAGTCAACTGCTAATTTGGGTACTCCGAAAGTAATGAACGTTTGATTTTTGTCACCAATAGTGAATGTGACATTACATCTTTCTAGAGCGGAATTTGCAGATATAATTGTCGACACATGGGTACGAACGAGCACTCAGTGGGTGGGAATTTCGGAGGCTAATGGAAAGGGCGGTACCATATAGTATATATAGTCACTTCCATTTGGCGAGCTATCGGAAAGCTCGAGAAGAGCAAATTCGGCATTTAATTGAACTCCGTCAGACAATCCCAAAAATTACTATTCAGCGTATTCGTACGTGGTAAAGAATGACCCGGACTTCGTGATTTCTCCAGGGCTTATAGACCTCCCTAATGCTGACGCGTTAGCAAGTACTAGCGCGCGCGACCCGCCGAAGCAAGAAAGTTGCACAGGCTTCCAAAAATATGTAAAGAAAGGGACTCGCTGTATACGGCGTTGTACGCATTATACAACACAAAGTTAGTGTTATACGCTAATTATGCTAATAAGCGTTTCCGCTCCAGACGAATGCAATGAAACTAACATCGGTTGTCACTTCGATTGTCAGTATAGAAATATGAAATAATGGGCAACTAGGCAGCTTTTAAATCAGAATTAAGCTAAGAATAATTTGTTGAGAATGTCTAACAATATATTTGCTATTAATGAAAGGGTTTGAAATTGATTAAGCCAAGTTTTGGATCGGTTGACACTTTTTTACATAAATAAATCTGATATATCATAGTGATATTTCTAGAGTTGAGTGTCAATCGATACATTTTATACAATTTATATACTTTGCGATTAGGTAGAACCCGTAATATATCAATACGTGCTACCTAAACACTTTTGCTTAGTACTTAATATTCTAAAAATTATTATCCCGCGACAATTGAAAGTTATATCAATGAAAATGCTATGTGTTTCAAAGTGACAACCGAGTGACAATCGAGCACGTGTTCAAACCGTTTTATATTACATACATATTTTTATGTCAAATATGCACAATCTTTAAGTGGTTTTCGATAACTTACCCTTGCATTTTATTCAGCAATAACCTAGGTCGATAATTAACCAGATAGATGTGTTTTATCCCTTGCATATAGAGCAGGTTTAATCTCTCAGCATACGTCCCTCCCCACATATCACATCTGTTTATAAGCTCATTTATAATATACTGCTCAGTCTGTTGGATTATGTTACATTTCAAATATATTGACCACAACAAGCACAGTATAAAAGCATTATATATGCCAGTGCAATTCAGTAAATATGTCATACTAAATGCTATACGATTTTCGCAAAACTGATATTCTAAAACACTCGGTAATTCAAAGAGGTTAAATATGCTTTTCATTGCCTTTCAGACAATCAGTTTCAAAAGTCTTGGGACAGATGCCACAAAACCTTTGAATTTCAACAAACGACAATCCCCCCGCCCCCTGTTCAATGTTGTGTCCCATTTCTCGTCGGGTTTGATGTGTTTTGGTTTAAACAACATTGATTGGGGTGGGGGAGGGGGAGGGGAGCGGTATTGTGTGTAAAAAACTATAATGATCCACTTACGAGCTAAAACTACATGTGTCCCAACAACTTCTGAAAGTGATTGTAGGTAAAAATTTTAACCAAGTTAAATTTATAAATCTCTCCATCAGCTCTTTAAGTATTTTTGCAGAAGAATGTTATACATTTTTTTATTATTATTATTAGTCTTTAATGAAACAGAAGATAAAAATACATATCTTAAGTTACAATTCATATTACAGTATATGCATTATTTACACTTTGCTAAAAAGAAACTTACAATGTTTAATCATATTGTAGTTCATACTATATACATTACTCATTCGTTCATACTGTATGTCTTGCTATAGAGATAACTTGCAATGTTTAATCAATAACTAAGTCATAATTGTATACCAAACGGTTTACAAACACGTTTTTAAAACGTTCCGTTCTAACTTTCGGCCTATGACTTCTTCTTTTTCTTAAGTTGTAGCCTGTTTCTTTAGCGTGTGGCATTAGTGACAATAATGGATGCTGCCAGAGTTTAGATACTCTATTAAATATGGTTCGATCTTGTTTTTCTAAAAGCTTATACACACTAACTGGCTTTGACGTATATTTCCTTTTATAGCAACGTTTAAGAAAGACTTCAATAGGAGTTAAATCGGATTTGGAAGCGGCATAAACAGATAATGCGTATGTTATGTTTGGTAATACCAGAGTATCAAACAATAGATCTATCTCTTGTTGTGAATAACCTTCCTTTCGCAATGATCGTAAGATATAAAGACACTTATTTGCCTTGATTAATTTGTTTTTAACATGTTCGCCAAATTTGCCATCACACTGGAATGTAACTCCCATCACTTTCACTGCTTTACACATTGGAATCATTGCTATTGGTGAGAAATATTCTTGGTTACCTTGCTTGTAGATGGTCATCTCTTTACACTTTCCTGGATTACATATCATCTTATTTCTAGATGTCCAATCCAAAAACTGTGACACCAAAAAATCAGCACAATCTCGCTCTTTCCAAACTGGAGCCACAATATTGGAGTCATCCGCATACTTGAACAATATATCAAGACCGTCCAATTCTAAGTTTAGAAATTAGAAGTAAGTTTAGAAAGCATTGGTCCTGACAAAAACCACCAAATGTACTGCGTTAGGAAAATGACGACTATTGCTATTAGAACTACATATTACATTTTTTGCTGCCGAAATAAGGAATGGGAAAATCCGGATTTACTAACAATTTGACTTATCTCATTGTATATATATATTGCATGCACTTTGTTCTGTTATTTTAGTTTAGTATAATTGTGATTCAAATAGCCAACCGTTATAAGTTACCTTTATGAGAGAGATATATGATTGTATATGTATGTAAAGAAAAACATTTAATAAAGTTTCCATTATTATTATTATTATTATTATTATTATTATTATTATTATTATTATTATTATTATTATTATTATTATTATTATTATTATTATTATTATTATTATTATTACTATTATTATTATTATTATCATTAGTATTATTATTATTATTGTTATTATTATTATTATTATTATTATTATCATTATCATTATTATCATTATCATCATCATTTCCATATATTTTGTTCAATTTTAAGTGATGTTTTTTGCTCTAGTACAATTTAGTTATAGGCTTTTAACGCTAATAGTCGTTGATAAGTATGAATATCATTACCTATTTTGTAATGCGACAGAAAATTGCAACGTTAGTGTCAAAAGCAGAACAAACGAGGCAAACTAAATTCTGGGCGTATATGTTTATCTGACTTGTTTTGGTTTTCGGAACGATATGAAGCTGAACGTTTAGTGCTGTTATTGTTTGGGGGAACAAAAACTCTGTTCCTTTTATAAAGGAACAAACTAAAGCGGAACAGCTCATTCCTTTTTACACTTTAGGAACCATTCGTTCTGTTGCACGAGAAAGAAACGAAAAGGCGTTCCTATTTTCGGAACTAAAGTTTTAAGTTGCAATATAACGCGAGATAGGAACAAGAATATACGTTCCCAAACTAAACCCAAAAGGTTTGCCCAATAATTAGCATGCAACCTTTCCTCAGCAAAGTCCGTTTTCGATTATTTGATCGGTATTGTATGAAGATATTTCAATCGATGTCGATACTAACTATTATAACATAGTGGAGAGCAGTAATATATTGTGTTGTTCTCCATGAAGCAGTAGCGTAGCCAGCCCGATGATTTAGTACCGCTATGCAAATATTTTCGTGTTCATTGACTGTGAAAACAATCAATTTCTAAAGAAATGAATAATGATAATAATTTTGAATTTGCATAGCGGGACTAAATTGTCGGACTGGCTACGCCACTGCCATGAAGTATATTATATATTGACGAGAATTGCACTGTTGTATATGAAAGAGATTATACCTTAAATGGATTTGCGGTTTGTGAAAACTTTATGCTTCAACATGATTTATAAATTAGACTGATCAACTATTTTCAAAGCAAACATATTATACTTGTTATAGTCGCAGGAATAGAAAATAAGGCAACCGACAACGCATTTAGTTTTGCGTGGAATCGTTTAAGAAAGAAATAAATAAGGAATAGAACTTCACAAATTTTATTCAACTACTCACAAAGCAAATTTATATTTACAAGGTACATGAGTGAAATACACTAGATAAGTTTTTGTTGAATTGCACGAAGTCTAAGTGCCCTAGCTTCTCTACCAGGTTGAAAGTTATATTCTGGATGTCGTAGGATTGTGCACCATCGTGCACCAAATCTTTTAATTCCCCTTTCTATAATTTGATCCTCTTCTGTCGTGAATCTCAAGGGTTTGCGTTTCTCGGCAGAAACCTTTTCTGTCGTTGTTTGTGGTATGGGAGTGGTTTCGTTATCACTTTTTGATTCGTGTTCGGAACAATGTTCTTGTTTTAACTGTTCAACGCAAGTGTCCATTTCTGCTCCATGTAAACCACGCAATTTTTCCATACATGTTCGCTCTTTGATAGGTACATTTCGAGAACGCAATTTCTGATAATGGACTCGGGCGACATTCGAACTGTGTTTTTGATCTTCAGAAACCAACTTCTGCTCCTCTACATTGAGGATTTGCACACTTTCAGTTTCAATGATTTGCCTGTATCTTGTGGGATGAACGTATTTTCCGATTGCCTGAAAGACTAGTATACTTAAGATTTCTGTTAATTTTTGAAATTGAATGCCATTACGATTGACCAGCAAATAGTCGCACCTTGGTTGCAGCAATGGCCTAACATAGCGAACGTAATTGTCAACAACATCCAAACTAATTTCGTCAAAATATAAGGAATCAAAGCCATACTTTTTGGCAGTTTTGAATGTGGTTTGATTGACCATTCCTTTATTTCGTTTTGCACTCTCAAACATGCTAACCGTCAAATGCAGATACGTCATAGGCCTAGAGCCTTTAACTTTAAAAAACATAAATACTGCTAGGAATCGGGTAGCGAATGTAAGATTCGTTGCGTTAACAACAGGTGATTTGTTTTTGCATTCGTCCAATATAATCTTATAACGCGGTATATGGAAGAGTATCACAGTTTGGAGTTCGGCTAAGCTTGCCCAACTCCGTCTTGATTCAAGTGTTTGTATGTCAAGATCTGTCGTCCAGTGCGACCTCACTACTTTTGACAAACATTTCTTTGCTCTCTTGATGTAAACTTCAGTAACAGAGAAATTTTGCAGCACGGCGCCCGAGGGAGAGTTAAACTTTCGAAAATCTAACAGCTCAGATATGCTTGTTATGTAACCTAATTGGCCGGAATTTCCCATTTTCCAAGTACCCTGAAGATAATCAAGGAAACCCGTTAACAACTTCGAAGAACCAAGAAAATAATCTATTATTTCTAAAGACGAAGTCGCATTCAATTCGTCCTCGCCCGTTTCAGAACAACAAAATGTTATAAACTTGAGAGCCCTTGTCACTGAAATTTGTGATTGCTTTTCAGACTTGCCGCCCCCAGCCGTACTTTGTAACCACACCGAAAGGGAACGACATAAATCATTTTCCGTAGAACAACAAGGAATTGTATGTTTGGCTTTTGATGTGATTACATTGCCTTTTTCTTCAACAGTATTTGAAATAACAATAGGTTTTTGATCGAAATATTTATACCAAGCGTGCTTTTCGTAAACATGCTTCCTGCAACCGCGACAACTGCTAAATCCAGGGTGTTCGCATCCATTTACAGGACAACGATATAAGTGATTCTTGTCTTGTTGCAAATGCAGTCTTCTCGGTTTGTCAAAAGCTCCATCAACCGATTTCCAATCCACCTTTCCAGCATGTTGACGTGGCATTTAAAAATGAACAACACCGACTAAGTGGCTGCTTATAAAGCACAATCAGACGTTGTACTTTGCATAAACGCATTCATGCATAACGCTTATTGTTGCACCGTACAATACATTTTCAAGGTAAATGTATCAAAGACATAAACCTATGCCATTACTTAACAGCTTTCGGGCTCTACAATTGTCCAAGCCCACATATACACTTTTAAATATTGAAAACTTATATTAGAATCCCTTGAAGCGCAATTGGGATTAGTAAGACCAATTGTATTGGTATGTGGCGTTAAAAGCTACATAAATCATCAACAGTTTCAATAAACAAACTTTAGATTTATATAAATGGTTAAACAAAATGTGAGGATTGTGCTCTTGTAAAAAATTGGGATGTAGAGTGAAAAAAGTTTTTCCAACATTTCAACGTGTACCTGCTGTAGCCCGGCATCGAAATTTTTCTAAGTGTCGAGTGAAATTAGTTTTCCTAACATTTAACGGGCTACGGGCTACTAATATAAATCCTAACAAAAACGACGGGCTACCCACGGGCTACCACTCAAAATCACGGGCTACCAATGCAAGTAGCCCGTGGTTGAAATTTTTTCTAAGTGTAGTATAAACTATAATAAAATGAGATAAATTGTCGAAAATATTCTAAGTCTTTCGTAAGTGACCATTTGAAAAAGACTTAGAAAAATTTCAACCACGGGCTACCAACGCTTGGTAGCCCGTGGTTGAAATTTTTCTAAGTGTCGAGTGAAATTAGTTTTCTCAATTTGTAACGGGCTACGGGCTACTAATAGAAATCCCAACAAAAACGACGGGCTACCAACGGGCTACCTGTCAAAATCACGGGCTACCTCTTGTTGGTAGCCCGGCGTTGAAATTTTTCTAAGTGTCGACTGAAATTAGTTTTCTCAATTTGTAACGGGCTACGGGCTACTAATAGAAATCCCAACAAAAACGACGGGCTACCAACGGGCTACCTGTCAAAATCACGGGCTACCTCTTGCTGGTAGCCCGGCGTTGAAATTTTTCTAAGTGTCGACTGAAATTAGTTTTCTTAATTTGTAACGGGCTACGGGCTACTAATAGAAATCCCAACAAAAACGACGGGCTACCAACGGGCTACCTGTCAAAATCACGGGCTATCTCTTGCTGGTAGCCCGGCGTTGAATGTTTCCTAAGTTTAAAATACTAATTGAAAAGTTGAATTATTATATTGAGCATTGAACTGTGAATATTAAATAATAATGTTTGGTATAATATTATCTTTAGTACATATAATAATATTTTCATTAGTTTCATAACAATTAGAATTTTATACTGATATATTTATAACAATTATTTTATTTATTTATATATATAGAATTATAATATATTTATTGTAATATATATATATATATATATATATATATATATATATATATATATATATATATATATATATATATATATATATATATATATATATATATATATATATATATATATACGAGTAGGTTTGTGTATACGAAACGCAAAGAGTGCTCAATATCATAAAGATAGAGCAAATGTAAAATTTCGCTTACCTCAAAATTCCGCAACAGTCTGTTTCATCAGTAAAGAATCATCAGGCGGTATGACAAGTTTCGAAAAATAGGGCTGCTTATATGTGTTTTGGCCGGAACGTGGGGGGGTGTGGGTGAAACAAAGCATGCATTCATCTATTGTTTGCGTTGTTTACGCGGAAATGCCTAATCGAATTGTGGGAGTGTATTGTTTGCGTTGTTTACGCGAAATTTCTTCCTATGTCTGCACGTAGATATAATTTCCATTCTTTTATTGAGTAAACGGTTTTGGTTTTCTTTCAAAATACAAAATTTTTCCTCTAAACATAAATTACATCGTTTTGATCCTCCGGTATACGAAATAGCGCGTTTCAAAATTTGCCAAATTGATATTAAAATCTTTCTTGCTATCTTTCAATGTCCAAATATATTTCGAAAGTTCAGTTTTGTTTGAGTGCTCTTTATGCTCGAAAGTATAGTTATGGTTAGCCAAACGCTCTTTAAATGTAGTTGATGTCATGCCAATATAATTCATGATCGTGTTAGGATTGTTTGTTGTGACGGTTGCTTTGTATACTATGTCCTTAGTCATGCATTGTTTCTGAATTGGGCATATTGCGTTTTTCGAACAACTGCAATTGACAGTGCCCTTGCCCTGTGCCTTGTTCTTCCTAGCTATATGTGCATTGTGCTTAGTGATTATAGACTTAACATTGCTCATTCAGCTATAACTTACTTTTACTGTATTTCTGTTAAAGATCTTATGCAGCATGTGGTGCGAAGGAAAGTGCTTGTCGATAAGGTTAAGAAAATTACGCCCTATATTAGTGCTGACATTCATGCTAAATGGTGGATTGAACCAAATGATATTACGTTGCCTATTTCTGCGTGCTTGCATGCTGTGGTGCGTGTTGAGTGTAGTTAAGATCATGATTAAAGTTGCTATGGTCAAGTGCGTTTTGGTATGCAGGTGCAGATTCCATAAATGTTTGCTCATTTCGAACAATTTAGAAATCGGCGACATTTACGAATCGGAAGATATTTCGAACAATTTAGGAATCGGCGACAGAATTGAAAAAATGAAAAAACGTGAAGCATTTATATCTTTAAAAGACCACAAAGAAAATTTCGAGAACAATCCAAAATGTCGGCTAATTAATCCCGCTAAAACCGAATCAGGAAAATTGAGCAAAATTATTTTAGATGAAATTAACTCCAATTTGAGACAAAAACTGAATTTGAACCAGTGGAGAAATACAAAACAAGTAATTGAATGGTTTGGAAATATAAAAGACAAAGAAAGACATAGTTTTATTTCGTTTGATATCGTTGATTTTTACCCATCCATTTCGGAAAAGCTTTTGGACCAAGCATTATCTTGGGCTTCTAATTTAACTACCATTTCGGATAATGATATTTTGATCATAAAACACGCCAAAAAATCTCTGCTTTTCAACACCGGAAAACCATGGACTAAAAAAGATAGTGAAGGTTTGTTTGACGTTACCATGGGCAGCCACGATGGCGCTGAAATATGTGAATTAGTTGGCCTTTTCATCCTAAATCACCTAAGTAAGAAGTTTGGCAAAGAAAGCATCGGCCTATATAGAGACGACGGTTTGGCTCTTATAAAAAGTAAATCGGCACGTTTAGCAGACAAAACAAGAAAAGAACTCCACAAAATTTTCGAGCTGTTTGACATAAAAATCACCGCCCAATCAAATTTACGCATAGTGAACTTTTTAGATGTAACTTTCAACCTTAACAACGGAAAATATAGGCCCTATAGGAAGCCCAATGACGATCCGCTATACATAAATAGGTACTCTAATCATCCACCTAGCATTATAAGGCAGCTTCCTACATCAGTTAACAAGCGCATCGCAATGCTTTCATCAGATGAGCAAACATTTATGGAATCTGCACCTGCATACCAAAACGCACTTGACCATAGCAACTTTAATCATGATCTTAACTACACTCAACATGCACCACAGCAAGCACGCAGAAATAGGCAACGTAATATCATTTGGTTCAACCCACCATTTAGCATGAATGTCAGCACTAACATAGGGCGTAATTTTCTTAACCTTATCGACAAGCACTTTCCTTCGCACCACAAGCTGCATAAGATCTTTAACAGAAATACGGTAAAAGTAAGTTATAGCTGCATGAGCAATGTTAGGTCTATAATCACTAAGCACAATGCACATATAGCTAGGAAGAACAAGGCACAGGGCAAGGACACTGTCAATTGCAGTTGTTCGAAAAACACAATATGCCCACTTCAGAAACAATGCATGACTAATGACATAGTATACAAAGCAACAGTCACAACAGGCAACCCTAACACGATCATGAATTATATTGGCATGACATCAACTACATTTAAAGAGCGTTTGGCTAACCATAACTATACTTTCGAGCATAAAGAGCACTCAAACAAAACTGAGCTTTCGAAATATATTTGGACATTGAAAGATAGCAAGAAAGATTTTAATATCAATTGGCAAATTTTGAAACGCGCTATTTCGTATACGGGAGGATCAAAACGATGTAATTTATGTTTAGAAGAAAAATTTTGTATTTTGAAAGAAAACCAAAACTGTTTACTCAATAAAAGAATGGAAATTATATCTACGTGCAGACATAGGAAGAAATTTCGCGTAAACAACGCAAACAATACACTCCCACAACTCGATTAGGCATTTCCGCGTAAACAACGCAAACAATAGATGAATGCATGCTTTGTTTCACCCACACACCCCCACATTCCGGCCAAAACACATATAAGCAGTCCTATTTTCGAAACTTGTCATACCGCCTGATGATTCTTTACTGATGAAACAGACTGTTGCGGAATTTTGAGGTAAGCGAAATTCTACATTTGCTCTATCTTTATGATATTGAGCACTCTTTGCGTTTCGTGTACACAAACCTACTCGTATATATATATATATATATATATATATATATATATATATATATATATATATATATATATATATATATATATATATATATTTATTTATCACATACTTGTACCTTTATCAGGTAGGAAGCAGCGGGACATAAAAACGATATCGTCCCGGATATCGTTTTTTGTCCCGGATATCGTTTTTTGTCCCGCTAAATTTCGCGCCTTGTCAAAACAAAGATGGCCGACTCGAGGTTCGTGTTGGTTGATGTCGACAGTTTATCGAAGGAAACAAGAACGATAATACAAAACGAAAGACTTAAATTGTATATTATTTATATGAATGGTCTATTTATTTTCTAAAATCATATTTGTTCAGTAAATGATGAATTGTTTTGAATTCCAAAATGATCCTATTTTTTCAAAACTGTTTACTTTTGGGTGTCAAACCCTGATAAAGGTACAAGTATATAATAAATAGGTTATCGTACTCGGGATTCGGTGATATCAGTTTTATCGCTCTCGGGATGATATCACAATTGTCCCTCGCTCGCTGCACTCGCTCGCGACAATTGTGATATCATCCCTCGAGCGATAAAACTGATATCACCTCATCCCTTATATGATAACCTATATATATATATATATCTATCTATATATCTATATTATATATCTATATTATATATCTATATTATATATATATATTATATATATATATTATATATATATATTATATATATTATATATATATTATATATATATATATATATATATATATATATATATATATATATATATATATATATATATATAACAATTATACCATGAGCTCGAGTCGTATATGAGCTGATAGCCGACGAGGTGCGTAGCACCGAGTCGGCTATCAGCCATATACGACGAGAGCGAATGGTATAATTGTTTTATAATATAGGCAAGACCGACATAATATAGACATCCACTTTACAATAAGAAATAATTTATTACTGAAGAATTCCATAATTTTACAGTAATTGATTTTCATAAATGAATGACGTATTCACCCAGGAACTTCCGTCATGCGTAATCAATGTATATTTGGGAAACGAATGTTCAACGTTCGTCGAAGGCAAACAACACTCAACAGATTAAAATATACAAGATTTATTAAATTTAACTTATGTAAACAGCGATTATTAATAAAAGATTACTTCAACATGGAAAAATACGGTTTAATAAGAACAGTCAATTGTAGATCTGAACGTTGCAACTGTGGAAATTGAACGTAGAGCCACTTGTCATGTGCGTGCTTTGCTTGTTGACTGTTATTGTATGGCTGTCGTTGTCTGATCTCATTTCAACCGACGATTCAAGATGAAGATCTTTTGGAACTGCTGTTTTGCGTTGGCTTTGGAGCGATGAGGACGGGGCTGCTACCGTTTCTGGTTGGAGGTACTGACTCAACGTTGTTGACATTCGTTCTTGTTGGTTTATCGAAGGACGGCTGTTGTATGATTCGATTGACTGATCGGATTTATGGCCAGTGACAGATTTTATAAAGCGAGTTTCGATGTGAGCATCAGACAGTGCTATTACAGATGTAGCTCGTATGCAATGGTTGGTCAACGGTGGTGTAATACCTGCTCGTAAACTCATGCTACGCATCATGTTTCCCAAAGTAGACTCGCCAACTGGACAGTTGCAATACCAAACTTCGCCAGATTTGCAGCTTTTCGGCCGTTGGAAAAGAGCATGACACTGGGGATTTAGATGCTTTAAGTAATTTTGGATCGTGGCAACAGGGCAGAACTTTGAATCTGGCTGGGTAAAAATCTTTCCATCTGACTCGTCTTCATTGTCGTCTAAACCGCCTTGGTGATTTTTGGTCGAGGGAATTGAACCTGCTACTTCCCGGTTGAGTTCAAAATACGTTTTATCAGCGGCTGTTGCTCTTAAAACCAGCATGTTGGGCTTAAGTTGTCTTTGCTTTTCCCTTCCTCGACGTCCCAAATAAATCCCGAGATAAAACCAAACGGTACGAAGCAACTGTGCTGGGTCATTACTATCGGCGGGACCTAATTCGCCATTGTGAAACAGCATCTTAATTTGCTCTTGTGTTATTGGCTTTTTGTGGACCAAACCAGCGATTTTGCCTGCTTTCCTGAGTTCTTTAACGAGTGCATCCAACACGGAATTTGCTTCGGTAAAAGCAGGGTCGCCAATGATGGAGAAAGGCTTGTTGTTTGGAGGACTTCTCAAGAATCTGTCAACTGCCGCTCGGATACTTTTCATTGTGGTTTTCTTGTAATACGAGCCGTCAACCTGCCTCGCAGATGTATAAAACACTTTCAAACAAGCATTTAAGTCGGATTTTGTCATGTCTGTGATGTACAAGCCCCCAGAGAAACTGGAACAGGTAAACCAATCTATAATTTAATGTATTTAATTTATTTTCCTGTTTTCTGTCATTCAGTTGCACTCCTTTTCAGTTTTTCAGTTTTTAAACAGCCTTATTCTTTGAGAAAATGAAGTTTTTAATTTGTTTTACTTACCATTAAATATCTTCATGCCATATTTAGTAGTTTTTTGTGTGTTTTGTGGAATGGCATTGTGTAAAAGCATTTGAATTTCATCTTCATTATACACTGCAAAACGGTCAGCCATTTTGTTTTTTCATTGCTTTCATTACCCACCGTATATGAGCTGATATACGGTGGGTATTTCGACCAATGAAATTGCAGAACAGCTCATATACGGTGGATGTCTATATTATAAATATATATATATATATATATATATATATATATATATATATATA